TTCCTGCTGAAATATTCAAAGCAAATTATGTTTACTACCTAAACATAATTTTCCTTTGTTGACTAAAGACAATGCAATGGGCAAAGGAAATGGAAAGGAGAATATAACTAAATGTTGGCACCAAAACCTTTAAACCATTATATACTGAAGCTACATGTGAGTACATCAAGTGAAATGGCTGCGGAAAAATATGACTAAAGAAGAGGGGAAGAACCTGAATGGTGTTTGGTCCCATGCAACCAGAGGAAGCCTATCTTACCTCTCGCTAAGATGCAGCCTGTCGGACTGTCTGTTGGTGAATTCAGTTCTGTGAAGGGGTGCGGAGACCACACAAGGTCTGGTCTAGCTTAACTTGTGCTACTGAGGAATGCCAAGGTACCTTTTAATTCACTGACAAAATAAATTAACCACTTATTAATTTATATACATTTGCACTCATTGAACAGGTAACTTACAGTATCATCAGTGTACAGGTAACTTACAAAGTTGCACAGGCAACACTGCATTCTAACAGAGCATTCTGTAATGTACAGACTTTTGAAGTAGACTAGCTCTCTTGTAAAATGTTACAGAAGGTGTCGGGGCCTTCCTGAATCACTGCTGTTGCACTGGCTCCATTCATTTTGAGACAAGGGCTTATTCCAAGCCTCAGCTGCCCTGCTCAGCTCTAGTAAACTCAAGTCTGTGGCTTCTTGTAGGGAGTCAATCCATCTCATATCTGGTCCTCCTGTTTCCCTGCTGCCTTCAGCCTTCTATCTAGATTTAGGGATGGCTTTCCTATAAACTTTATTTGCTAAATAAACTCAGAAATCTTTTGTTTTAAGCTCTGCCTGTGCCTGGTTTGTTGCATTAGAGAACAGAACAATCAGGTAGGTTTAAAAGGTCACAGGAAGCACCACTGCTGTTTACTCTGTTAACAAAGAAGCCACCTAACACAGCTCTTCCAAACAGATTTAATAATCTGAATCAAAATTGCATTTGAGTGATTGTATTGACATAGAAGAACCTCAGAAGTTACTGCGCATCTCTCAAAAATAATTTCAGTCTGTTCAGTGTCTGAATAAAATTACACTTGTTCTATCGGTGGTGTCTCTGATTCAATACCCTTTCCTGTAGAGTATCTTTTCATCTCCTTTAAACTGATCACCTATGGGAAAATTAGAGGCATACCTACACATCTTTGCTTGACCCCTTCCTCTCTCCCTCAAATTTATCACCAGCTTTACTGTCTGGTCAAGATGACTTTATGAATGTTGGAACACTGCTTTCATACTTCAGAATGTTTTATCTTTTTGAGGGACAAACATAAACAAAAAAAGATCAAATATTATTCTGAAGCATGAAAGCAGTATTTCAACATCCATAATGTTAACTTAAGCAGACATTAATACCAGCATTGTCTCCTTGGAAGCTCTCCCTCCCCCTTTCCCCGCCAACTGCCAGAAGTCCCAATCTCATCAAGGAGCAGAAAAGCTTCCTAAGGCAGCCACAGGGGATTGCATTTAAAAAGAAACAAGTGTGGCACAGGGAGCTGCCCTTCTTTTATATCACCTCAGTTTTACCTTATCCTGTCCCTTTTGCAACCCTGTCTTTTTACCATCCACCAGTCTTGCATATAGCTTGTTCAAAATGACATGTGTTTTTTTTTCCTGTTAGAAAAAAAGCTAAAGAAACCTCCCAATTTTCCATCCTTTCTCTTTTCTTCCTTCCTCTTTATCCTTTTCTCCGGATCTGAAATTAGTCCAGCTCTGTGATTCCACGGGCACAATATACTGAATAATGCAGAAACAAAATTCTAAACACTATAGACTTTGGTGCTTTCATCAATTACTTCGCAGCTGGAAAGGAAAAGAAGGTTTGTCACTAATATAAAGGACATATTCTTCCTCTCCACTAAGGCCACCTCACCACCTTCCTTGGTTTCTCCATTTCTTTCCCTGCTTGTAATCAAATTGTACCATTTAAAATATGTTTTAATCCACCCAGATGTCACATTTAATGTGAGGAATCTGGGGGAAGATACACTCTGCCTTGTAAGTGCCTCTAGGCTCTTTGCTCTGCCTCACGGTCACCATGGAAACACACAAATACTACTGATTTGGTCTGTATTTACATATTTGCCCAAGACAGCACACATCCCTAATGAAAGTCCATTGAAACAGAAATAAGTTTCTCCTGTTTGCACAGACATTTCTTTTTAATGTAGCTATATCTGTGCAAATACACATTCCACAGTCTTTTCTCTGACTGGTATTAACCAAAGCAGAAAGCCTCCCATTAAATGTGTTTACACGGCAATTAAGGTAGTGGTGGACTATTCAATATTTGCTTTGGTGTCCTTTTAAATCACCCAATTAACTAATCAAAGCAAACATGAAATGTAAGATGGAGAGGGCCTATAACAAAGGGAGCGGGACTTGTTTTTATTGACTTACAGAGACAAATGGTTTATCACCTGGGAACACTTTAGAAGGCACCTGGATTGGGAGATGTGTTCACAGATTATTTACACAAAATAATTTGTCCTGGGCTCTGAACTCTTCTAACAAGAGAGAGCTTTCTGATGAAAACGCCACATGGGAGCAGCTTGATTCAGTGGCACGCTATTAATCATGCAGTCCTTCTAATTAATTGGTTGTGCTTTTGAATTTTACGCCAGTCTCTCGGAGAGTTGGGCACAGAAGGCGTTTAAGCAACCACGTCCTGCCAGAGATCGGTGGGGTGTAGAGTTTTGATCTCGTTTTTAGTCTCCGGGGCGCGCCGGTTCAGAGCCTTCTCAATTTCAGGAGGGGGATCGCCCGGTGTCTGTTTCGCAGCAATAACGAGCACCGAGGTCGAGAGAGGCTCGGCTCCAACGTCTCAGAGCAATCCTCCCATCTCGCCCCGCGCGGAGCTGCCTCGGTTTCCACGTCAGAGGCGAGGAGGGCATGAATGGGATTCCAGACAGCCGGAGTCACACCGCCTGGCAACGAGGCGCGGGGTCGGGACTGCCAATCCGCGCCGTGAAGATATGCGAGACAGGAACGGCCCTGACAACGCCCCGCACGGCAGCCGGCTGTCCGCCCGGAAGAGCTTCCAGGGGCGGCGAGTGGGAGAGAGCCGGGGCCCTGCCAAGTCTCATTCCTTGCGCACTCGCGGCCCCTAGCTAGGCGCCCGGCCGCCTTCTTTGGGTGGTATTCGCTGAGCCGGGCTCCAAACGGGAGCGAGCCGGGGTAAAGGACGCACAACAGAGAAGAGGTTCGGGTGGGCGAGAAGGGGGAGCCTTCTGACATCCAACTTCTTGGTTTTCTATAAAAGGCAAAGGGCAGCCTCCCTCCGCCCACCCCAGCCGAGGAATGCCGCCGGCTCGGTCCGGGCCCGCAGGATATGAATTCGCAGGGCGCCCCCAAGCGGGCATCCAGCGCGAGGCAGGAGGGGGCCCGGCGCGACAGGCTTGCGCCATCGCCGGCGGGTGCGTGAGCAGCATTCCGGGCATCCCTGGCAGCGCAGAGGCGGCAGGGCCTCAGGGCGCCGAAAGAGGTCTTTTCGCGCGCGCTTTTGGGGAAAGAGTACCAGAGGGAAAAATAAAATAAAATTGAAATAAGACAAAAACGTCATGGCAGTTCAAAGACTTGTGCGAGCTTTCGTGGATCCAATCCACATCGCCAGACTTTTTTTCTGATTTAGAGGGAAGGAGTACTTCTTCCCGGGGGTTGCACACGGTGTGGTTTTACAAAGGCCGGCAGTGTAGAGAATCAAAGGGATCCGTCCTCTGCCCCTGGTCTCTCGGTCACGTCTGGGCCACCCTCAGGAGTAGCAGATCCTTCTGAAAGGGGAAGGCGGCAGAAAGTGGCCACAGCGCCTTTCTTCACAGCCATCGTGCCTCCCGCCCGTTCGCCGTGCCGCCCAGGCAGCGATGGCAAGTGAGCCGCGTCCGCAAGGCGATGGCCGGAAATAGGGAAGAGTGGCCTGGTGACTTGGGAAGATCAGAAGTAGCAGCCCTCCCCCTTCTCTTGGTTGCCTGTGCTTTCCCTCTGGTCCGCACGGCACGGGGGAGGAGGGGCGGCGGCGGGAAGGACCTTAAGGTGTGATGGGAGGGGAAGGGATCGCTTAGGTGCAGCCATCCTTTTGGGCTGCTCGGGAGGGATTTTCCCTTGCAGGATCAGCAAGGGCCGTCGCTTGCCCCACCAGGGCTGAAGAGTACTGGAATGGCCCTTGGGAGACCGGGCTCCTCAGTGAGCCGCACAACTCGGTAGGGAGATCTTGGGTCACTTCCCTTCCCTTGGCCTGACTTCTTTCTCAAGATTGTGGTGATGACAAAAAAGGGAAGGAAAAGAACTATGTACGCTGTAGGAAAGGAAGGGCGCAAAGGAAATAAATAATTGAATAAATGAGAGATATCAGCCTGAGGGCGATTCGGTTTCACCCTGTCTCTCAGGTTGCTCCCGAATAATCTGCCACCTCTGCTCATTTGCTCGCCTTCTGTCTCTGCGGAAGAACTGACTACTACGGGATTCCGGGGAAAGTGGAACTCCCAACTTTTAAAACTGTGCTGTCCGGTGTCCTTTGAAACCTGCCCTTGCAGGGAATCGCATTCATTCACACGCACAGAGGCTGGCTTTCACAACTGCCCGCGGTATGTGGGGACGAGCCGCCTCTCTGTTCAGGTCTCTAACTCACTCTAGGTACACCGGGCAGTTGGGCGCAGCTCCAGCAGGGGCGCCGCCAGCAGCGTCCCATTGATGCCAATGGCCAAGCGCCCCATTGACTGCACGGATCTTCCCAGTTCATCAACCTTTCCTTCCCCCGCGGTCGCGAGCGTTAAATCCCCTCCCTTGGCATTTCGTGGGGGGGGGCGTGTGTGAGTGTGTGTGTGTGCGCGAGCGCGTGTTGTTGTTGTGAAGTAACTGGATAAACACCAAGCCGCTTCCTGCCCGGCTGCTGCTGATTGGCTGGCAAAGTTTCAGGAATGCGAGAGCCTCCTTAAAAGAAAGAGAAGCGCCGGCAGCCGCTCCAGTGCAGGCAGCCAGGGGTAACAGCCAAGGGGAAGCCGCGGGAGCAGCAGCAGCAGCAGCAGCAGGCTACCGTTGTTCCCCATCTGCGATCCGCCACCACCACCATCGCCAGCCAAGACTCCGGACTGCTCGCTCGCTTGGATTGCTCTAGGACCGCAAGAGACACGGGCGGAGACGTTACTTGTTCAAGGGCCGTGGGGGGCTCTATACAGCCGAGGACACTTAAACCCAAGTTCGGGTAACATCGAGCCGCACAAGGATACTGGTCACTCTCCACTGGGTTCAAGCAGGGGACGTCCTTGCTCTCGGAGCCGGTTATTGCTCGAGGCTCACCGTCTCTTCCTTCTGTAAAGGTAAGGGCGGGAGTGGAGAAGCAGCTTTTCTCCTGCTGCAAACTTTGCCGTAACATCGCGAACGGAAATCACCAGTATAAAACACTAAGGCGCTTTTTAAGGCATGCTATTTTCTCTCCCCTTTCTTATGCCCCCCCCTTTAAATCCCTTGCGTCTTCTTTCCTCGATCACTTTTCTTTGGATTCACCTTTTCTAGTTTTCGACGACTCGCTCTTCAAAGGTCTTCTGATTTCGGCCGCCACCTAGGCGGCTGCCTTGGGGTGAAGTTGCCAGTGACCAGGCTGATTTTTCTTTTTCTTCTCTCAAGGTTTTTGCCACTTCGGGGCGAGATCTCTGCCATGGAGTTGTCAGGCGGTCTCTTTCTCCTTCTCATGCTTGGGGTCCACGCATCGAATCAGATTCCAGGTAAAGAAAGAGATGGATGGATGGATGGATGGATGGATGGATGGATGGATGGATGGATGGATGGATGGATGGATGGATGGATTGCAGCGGAGAGACAGAAAAGGAAGCCAGGGGTGACGGGCATCATGGGGAATTAGCCAGGAAAGCTGTCCCGTTGCCAACTAAAGATCGGGACGGGAAGTGTTTTCTTGTCATGGCTCCAGGCTGGCTTTTGAGGAATAGGGATAAGATCGCGTTACTAGGTGTGCAGGAAGAGCGCCCGAAGGAATTTGGGTGCGCGCGCGTGTTGCTGCACAGTGGTGTGTTTACTGCATAGCACACACATCGCTAGAACACAGTACCTGCCTCGTACCTTAAAATAATACACACCTCCAGAGTTGGGGAGGGTCAAGCAGCCCCATGCCCCCCCCCGACATCCCTGTCGATGCGGAATTCTTCGTTTACGCAATTTGAACGCCGGCGCGCCTCTCAAGTTAGGCTGAAGAAGACTTCAGTCGGCAGCCCTGGAGACCTGCCGCTTCTGAAGAGGGTGGAAAAAGGAACCTCGCCTCAAAATGGACGGGGGGGGAGGGTGTCATCCAACTCCGCTAGACGGGTCAAGGGTCTGACTGGACGTAAAGAAGGCATCCTAGCTTAGACCTGTTTGAAAAAGACTTGATCAGCTGCGGCGAACCTGAACGCCAGGGGACGGGATCGCTGGGAAGCCCCGCGTGAGGTCGGCTGAGTGCCCGCCTTTTTTTTCCCCCTTGCGGCCAAAGGTCGCGCCAAAATGAAGGACTTCGCTTCCCGCCTTCCCTTGGGACTGTGGCGAGACTAGGCGCAGCCTGTGAGGGGCAAGCGTTTCTGCGGCCCTGACCAAATGGGTCTTCTCGTGGAACGGCTGCCCCGGTCGGTCGTCGCGGTGCCCAACGGTGCACTGTATGTGGAGGCGCGCGGTGCCTGTGTGTGGCGGAGGAGTGGGACTCTTTCCCTCACAAGCGCTGCTTCTTGAGCGGACTCCCCTCGAGGGGCAGCTCATTCCCCCCCCCCCGGCCCCCCCCCCCCCCCCTGGGCGCTGCGCCAGGGGACGCTCCTGACCAGACCTGCAAGCTCTGGAGGAAGGCCGGGGCGGGGAAGCCTCCGAGGTTAATTATTAGACAAATAAACAAACAGAAAAGAGGAGAGGTGCTATGACTCGAAACCGGCCTGCCCCTCTGACTCATTGGAAGGGCTGTCAGAGGTGGTGAAAGGCTGGCTGGCTGAGGTTAAGGCCATGTCCACTGAACGCGATCAAAGTTCCTCTTCAAATTGTCATTGTAGTTTCTGTTCCAAAGCTGAGCACTAGCACTGGGAACAGATCCTGAGCCAAGTCCTGTGGGTGCCTGCGGGAAGGGGAACAATGAAGTTCTTATCCCCACCGGAGGTTTGTTTATTTTAAACATAGGCCGGCAGACACACTGGCCTTGTGGGGAACATCACATTGCATGTGCAAATTATGCTTATATACCACAGTGGAGTTCCCCAGCCCAGGGCCAAAATAAGCTCCTATGAACACTCTTGCTAAATGCAAGGTTCATTGCTTGCTAAATGCAAGGCTTATTGCTTCCCCCAGGGCTCGCTACTCTCTTTGAGCCTCCATGGTGCCCTGTGCTTTTTGACAGCCGCCCCAATTTGACTCCCTCCTTTTTTCTTGGAACATGCATAGCTGGCTTGCTTTCCTTTGCTCCCAGTCGCCCAGAGCACATTCCTTTGTTTCCCCCACTCCACACAGGCTGTGGCAGCCCTTTAACAGCCTTCTGGCTGGTGGCACTTTTCACAGTAAAGTTTCAAATTTGGTTCAAACACAGTGAGTAAGCCCTAGTTCAGACTCTAGTTTCAGCATGCCCTTCTTGCTGAAGCCATGCATTCCTGTTCTGATGCACAATAATCAGTTCTGCCTCCTCTCTCTTGCTCTTTTGTTCTCTTGGCAGAGTCGGGTGATGATAACAGTGTTTTCGATCTCTTTGAGTTAATTGGCTTTGGTCGCAAGGGAGCAGCCCGCAAGGCAGCAGGGGTTCATCCAGTAAAGGGACCAGAGATTTCCAGCCCGGCCTACCGCATTGAGGATGCCAACCGTATCCCTGCTATTCCTGACCACAAATTCCAAGACATTCTTTATGCCATCCAAGCTGAGAAGGGCTTCATTCTTTTAGCGAACCTTCGCCCAGTAAAAAAGAATCCTGGCACCCTGCTGGCTGTTGAGCGTAAGGACAATTCAGGCCATGTCTTTAAGCTGGTCCTAAATGGCAAGGCCAAAACATTGGACCTAAGTGTCTTTCCCAAGGAGGGCAATCAGACTCTGGTGTCAGTGGAGAATGTTGAGTTGCCCAATGCCCAATGGAACAACATCACCCTCTTAGTCCAAGAGGATCAAGCCCAACTTTATGTGGGATGTGACAAGATCGATAATGCTGAGCTGGAAATACCAATTCAGAACATCTTCACCAGAGACTTGGCTAGCAGTGCCAGACTCCGCATTGCCAAAGGAGGATTCAATGACAATTTCCAGGTGAGATGTCTTCCTGAGTTTATTTCAAGAAGCTTGTATGGACTGATCCTACTCTCATCAGCTTGAGCAATAGGTTTCAGAGAGGTTCACATTTTTCTGCCCATGGCTTTTCCTTGTTAAAAGGGAACTCACCAGAAACCAATGAGGTGAGAAGGGGCACAGTTTTTAATTTTTATTATTACTAAGTGAAAAAACTTTTAAACTTTCTGATATGCAGTGATCTTTTCTGTATGTTTATTTAGAGAATGAAGAGGTGTTGTAAAGCTAATGAACCTGTATTCTAGCCAGTACATTTTTACATCTACAAACTCAGTTGCAAAAATGCTTTTTAAACTTTTATTGTTTTTACAGTATGTCTTCATATTCAAAAATTACTGAAAATATGAAGATGTATATTCATTTCTAAAGAGATATATTTTAGATCTTTACTTTTACTTTTACTTTATTTAGATTCATGCCCTGCCCCTCTAGACAAAGTCTACTCAGGGCAGCTTACAAAAAAAATGATAAAATACAATAGAATAATATAGTTATTAAAACTTAATAATACAAGCAACTAACTAATAGATATATACATTATCAAGATGGGAAATTAAAGAAACGAAACAGATATGTGCAACTCCTTTTGCAATGCAGTTCTTTTGTCTTGTTTTTCACCAAAAGTTGCAATTCTGTCTATAGGGAATGCTGCAGAATGTGCGGTTTGTTTTTGGAACCACACTGGAAGCCATCCTGAGGAACAAAGGCTGTGAAAGCTGTAAGTCTGTAATATGCTTTAAATGTAATTATCAATAGAAATCATGGTTACTGGTAAGGGGAAGGGATACTTATCATATGTGCATTAAATGAGACAAAGTTTGGATATAGAGTGTAATGTAAATCATTGTACATTAAGAAATTGCTGTGTATTAGTTGATTTCTGGTTCTGTATTTTAATATGTGTCTGTATGTGTATGATTTTAACAGGTGTGCATTTTCTTTTGTTTCAGCTATCAGGTCAACTATTAAAGTTGGCAACCACATGAATGGCTCCCGTCCAGCCATCCGTACAAACTACATTGGGCACAAAACAAAGGATATCCAGGCAATTTGTGGATTCTCCTGTGATGAACTAAGCAATGTGTTTGTAGAACTGCAAAGCCTGCGTGCCTTGGTCACAAAACTTCAGGATTCAGTTCACAAGGTGGTGAGTGGCTATTAACTGCACTATAATGTAATAGGTTTTTAGAGGTACATTGACACATTCAACCAAGCTGCTTATTTTCTGCATACAACAATTCTATATAAAGCAGCCTTGTAAGCAGCCTCTCTCCTGTGATGAATAAAGGCAACTTTCAGGTGACTAGGCAGAGAAGCTTTTACACATAGGAACAGAGCTTATCCTTTCTTCCTTTTTTTTCTCTGCCTCTTTGAACCAAGGCTGCCTCTCACTACTGCCTGTGGGCTAAGCCTTCAATATAAATGGAACTATATGTGGATAAAGAGGGTGCAGCAGCTATTTCTAGTATGGCGGTGATAGTTTTTCCAGCCACTATGGTTACAGAATCTGTGGTTGTAGGTTTCATTTGTGCATAGCCTAATTAACTCTGAAATATCTCCTTGTGATTCCACAGAAGGGACTGAATGCAGAAAAATAAGTGCTGGCTTGATTCCTCAGTTGGCATTGGCCCCATGACCTTATGTTTGGTTAGCTGAAGTCAGTCTTATGATATTCAAGTTTATTCATGCTTAGAGTTGCATTTCAAGTGCACATATATGAAAACATTGTCCAGTACTATTAACTGAACTTGCACTCAAGTATAATATATTTTTAAAATATATTCTATACATTTTATCTGTTATATTTACAATGGACTTTACAAATTTATGTAAATATCATGTAAAATTATTATTCTTTTCTTTTAAGAATGGTCTTATGGAATTCGTTGGTGGTGGGTTTGAGATTAGTCCTGGAGCGTGCCTCCATAATAAAGTGGTGTATCAAAACACAGCAGAATGGACCACTGATAGCTGCACGACGTGTACTTGCCAGGTAAAGGTTCCTACCTTATAACATAATAATGGGATAATATTTGATTTGTCATCAACATATGCCTAAGTGGTCTATTATGCAGAAATGTAGATTATACACTAAAATAATGGGCCATACTTTTAAAGCAACACTGATAGTTATTCCTATGTGGGGAATTATTGTACTTTCAAATGGACCAGATTTATATTTATTAGCATCTGACCTTTTCCATTTGTTATAAAAGAAAATTAGTTTTAAGAATTTTGTAAGAAAAATCTGGCATTCTATACAGAACAGGAAAAGAAATACATGCATAGTTATGCAACAGAATCCCCATTCAAGTCTTATGCTTCACACATATTGCTCATTGTATGAAGAAAGAGACTGAAGATTACAGTTGCTAGTCCTGCTTCTTCTCTCAGTCACAAGGTGCTCCCCTCCAGATGTTGAGGCCAAACTTCTGTCCCTACAGGTGCTGAGACCAAATGTCTGCAGGAGGAAGCAGCTGGCTCTGATCATAGAGATGCCCTGTATAATTTAGAATTCTGACCCTCCAGCATTCTAAACCATGCAGGTGGAGCAGCACACTGCCAGGAATTCCTGAATGGTGCTAGTATCTTCAGCCTTCAGGATTCTCTGGTGCACTGTGAAATTGTATCCAAAGATTAGTAACTAAGTAAACTGCCACTCTTCTACCCACAGAAAGAAACATGTGGCATGTATCTGTATACTTTCTTCTTTAGGTAAAATCAGCAAAGGGACACTTTTAGCATAAAACAGCCTCCTATGACACATCTAATTGGTTCTAAATCTGTCAAAATATCCTCAAGTATCCAAAATAATAACAAATTGTTAATATTGTACAAATTCATTGTATTAACTAATAATATATTATGTGTGTTAGATTTGAAAGGGTCATAAATTGTGCTATCTTGTTGTTTCACCTATTAAAGGCCCTCCTTTGAAAATTCAGAATGCCAAGTGCTAAAATAACTGTAGGAATTATTTTATTTTTCACCTTTTCTTGGCTAATGGTGCATTAGGTCTCTGCATATTCCCAACATATGTCATGGTCTTTTGTTATACTGGCCTCTAAAGCTATAAAACACATTATATCTTATCTTTTAAGAAACAGAACTGGCAAAAGCATACATTTTAAAATTACCATTAATTCTTACACTCTGAGACAATTTTTGGCACAAGACAGAAGTCACACCCAGCTACAACATGGATTGTGGAAATTTGAGCCAACTCTGTTAAATCCATTTTATCTTTTCACATATAATCAATTGAAATTCAGACTACTAAGTAAGAAAAACACACTGACTTGAGGATCTTTTTTAACCTTCTGAGACTAGATCTGGAAAGGCTATTCAGCTAGATTTGACATATACATTTAGCATGCCATTGATTAATACAAATTGTTTGATAAAGTGGACTGTAGTTCATAAAAACTTATTCGACATGTTAGTCTTTAGGATGTCATAAGAATTTTATTTTTTCCCTAGAGAAGTATAACTCAAGAAATTGGGTTATAAATGATTAAATAAATTACTGTGTGGTAGTTCACATGGACATCAAGAAACCTTTGCAGATGTTAGTGACAGTTGAATTAAACATTACTTCCACTCCAGATAGCAATCATATGCAAATTTTCTTACAAATCCCACTTTCAGAACAAAGACAGAAGTAGGAGGTACTACATTGTTTTTGTATTCACTTTCCATTTCAAGTCCCCCCCCCATCCAAAATACTTTCACATATTCCTGAAGGAATTCTCACAAATGCTCTTGCTTTCTGCTTCAGATCACAACCTCCCAAGATTGCTCATGAGTGTTGGTACTGAGGGAAGTTGAGAGTAATGGTTTCATACAGTTGGGTGTAAGGTCTGGATAGGCTTTAGATCAGTTCTAATAGATATATCTGATAGGCTTTGCAAAGTTATGCCATTTTGAGGTGAAGTATCAGATTTTTTTAATATATTAAATTGTTAATTTTTTTCTTTGTCCAGAATTCTGTCGTTATCTGTCATAAAGTATCTTGTCCTGTCATGTCTTGTTCTAATGCCACTGTTCCTGATGGAGAATGCTGCCCACGATGCTGGCGTAAGTACCTAAAGCTTCTTATCATTTTCTCAGTAATCATTTTCAACACATACTACACATGTAATCTAAATGCCATCATATGAGTATAGCACTCTCTTGCCACTAAACAGCCTTGCTTTCCCAATTATTCTGGTTTCCACACTAATTCTATGTAAAATTGCTTCTTAATTGTTCATAAATTGAATCTGAAACTTTTGGTTGCAAAATTTTCTCTTAGTTAAAAATTCTATTATAATTTCTTCTCAAAACATAAATGTTCAATCTGTTGATGTGTTGTTCTGACCAAATGTTTCCCAATGAAGCAAGACCTGCGATAAATTTATGCTTGTTGTTTTGTTAAAGCTAGGCATGTATCATGTTAGTAACCATTCCAGTACTAGTCTAGTAAGACAAACATGATTGTCTGGAAAGAATTGCTGCAACAATACTGAGAATGTTGTGCAGTTTCAAACAAGAAATAAAAGTCTTAGCACATTATATGTTAAGCTGTTTTATTTAAAACTGTTTCAGCCTAAGAAATATAGTAGGAAGTTATTCCTACATGATTGAAATAGGAAAGTGCCTCTCTTTGCAGTCAGTGACTCTGCAGAAGACATTTGGTCTCCTTGGTCTGAATGGACTACCTGCTCTGCAACCTGTGGGAATGGAATCCAGCAGAGAGGACGTTCATGTGACAGAATCAACCATCACTGTGAAGGCTCCTCTGTGCAAACACGAATCTGCAACATGCGGGAATGTGATAAGAGATGTAAGTATTTAGTTTCATTATGCTGAAATTAAATGCAGTCTCTACTTTGGACTGTGCAAAATTTTGTTCAGAAAGTATATTCTGATTAATGCTTCTTGTTGCTGACAAGCACTGTAGTGCAAGGTTGAATGTTTATTTCTAGTAACAGGAGTTGACAAGAGAGTTCAGGCAGAATCCTACTAAGAAAAATTCCATATATAAAAGCAATTGTACAGCTGTTTTCCACCCTCTGACAGCTGCACCAGTGCATGACCAATCTTGCTATAGCAAGAGACCAGCCATAGGATGGGCAGCCTGTGAAAGAAGAGAAACCTACATGATTTACATTCTCCTCTGCATTCCTTTAACAGGATTCCAGCCTTGATGTCTAAACTCACTAAAAATACTAATGCATAAATTACTGTTTATGTTTGCACACACCAGATTAAATGTAATGCTTCTTAGTAGTGTTTGACATTACTATGTCTCTACATATTATTGTAATATATTAATTTTTTAATCTAGTAGCAGTTCTATACTACCATTTTCAGAACTAAGTTACTAATTATTTAAAGGGTTTGATTCATTATCATTAGTAACACTTATGTCTGTTTATAGTCAAGCAGGATGGTGCCTGGAGCCACTGGTCCCCTTGGTCTTCTTGCTCTGTCACTTGTGGAACCGGAGTGATCACTAGAATCCGACTGTGCAACTCTCCTCTTCCACAAATGGGTGGCAAAGAGTGTGAAGGAGAAGCAAGAGAAAATATGCCCTGCCAAAAAAGCCCTTGTCCAAGTAAGGTTAATGTGAATTTTTTTTTTTTAGTATACTCTGTCTTCTCTTAGAAGGAAAATAATAAGAAACACCAGAAACAGACTGACATGTTAAGTTTTCAATTGTGTTGTGACTAGGCATAGTTAGAGTGCAGAGGCACTTGTGCTTGGTTTCCTGGATGGTTATTCTTATAATGTTCACTTTTTTTTTTTAGTTAATGGAAACTGGGGACCATGGTCCCCATGGGACACCTGCCCAGTCACATGTGGAGGGGGTGTTCAGAAGCGTGAACGTCTCTGCAACAATCCTGAGCCCCAGTACGGAGGGAAGGATTGTATTGGTGAAGCTTATGATAACCAGATCTGCAATAAGCAGGATTGTCCAATTGGTGAGTGTTTGTCTCTTGCAAATGTAAACTGTAAAACAGCATTTGTTAGCAATTCTTTTATCTTCAGAATACAGTGGAAAAACTGAGAAGAAAAATATATACATAAGATACAGCTATGTTTTGTTTGCATGCTACTCAGACCTGATCTCATTTCCTGCTAATGTAAAGTACAGTGGTTCCTCGCAAGACGATTGCCTTGCGGAATGATTAATCCGCAAGACGATTGGTTTTTGCAATTGCTGTTGCACTTCGCAAGACAATGTTTTCTATGGACGATTTTCGCAAGACGACAATTTTTCCCCATTGGAACGCATTAATTAGATTTCAATGCATTCCAATGGGAAACCGCGTTTCGCAAGACAATGTTTTCATAAGATGACGTTTTTTGCGGAACGAATTAGCATCGTCTTGCGAGGTACCACTGTAATGCAGATGTTTATAACTACCAGTAGAGAAAAAGTAAACATTTAAAAAAGGAATGTTTGGACACAGATTTTACTTGCTGCTGTTGTTTTGCATAAAGTTAATAACATCCTTGAATCCATCCCACCTTCTTCCTCTTTCAGATGGATGCCTATCTAACCCTTGCTTTGCGGGAACAACATGTACTAGTTTTCCTGATGGCTCATGGAAATGTGGTGCATGCCCTGCTGGCTATCGTGGAAATGGGGTTAAATGCAAAGATATTGATGAGGTAAAATGACTTTAATTCTTTATACAGTAAGTTTAAACTGTTTTAACCAAAAGTTAAACATGCAAGCATAAAACTTCCTGTTATCTCATTTTTATTATTTATCTCAGTGTCAAGAGGTCCCAGATGCCTGCTTTGTCTTTGGTGGAGTGCACAGGTGTGAAAATACTGAGCCTGGTTACCACTGCCTACCTTGCCCATCACGGTTCACTGGAACACAGCCATTTGGCCAAGGTGTTGAAAATGCAATAGCAAATAAACAGGTACTGCCAAAAGTATAATATTGCTTGTTTACAAATCACAGTCTATTACTGGATCTATAACGCAAGACCAACAAGGAAAATAAATTCTGTCATGGTTCTAGAAATTATAAGTTACTGTAAAAAGAGAGTCTCAGACTGTGTCACCCTGAATACATCTGGTCTTCTCTAATTCTGGAAGCTAAGCAGGGTTAAACCTTATTGGAGCTTGGGCAAAGGTTTATTTCACACCTGGAAATATACTGAAGATGAGTTCACATTGTCACATTCCTCTCTGTAATATTGATCAGAAGCACACAATTGTATAAAGAAGGCATGATTTGAATCAAACTGTAGCCACAGGAAAAAGTATTTTTGTGATCATAGCTGTACTTTCCCAATAGCCACAACAATAAATAGTCTAGCTCATAATAGCTTTTCTCTATGACACTCTGAATGTACAGTCATGATTTCCTAGAAGTGGGCAGGATGAGCTGATGCTAAGAATAATGTGTATTTGCAATATACTTCAGTGAAACAAATTTAGAATACTTTAAATTGCTCCTAAATCTTACACACAACAGAACTGTGTGTTATGTTAAGAATTGATTTCCATGCACAGCTGTTGCACTAATATATCAAAAGAAAGGGGCTGTCTCATGTCTACAAGTGGATTCACACCTTTGTTGTTTCTGTGTGGTTCTTTAGATCTGCAAACCACGTAACCCATGTGCTGATGGAACACATGACTGCAACAAGCATGCCAAGTGCATTTACCTTGGCCACTTCACAGACCCCATGTACCGCTGTGAATGTAAACCAGGCTATGCTGGTGATGGGAAGATCTGCGGAGAAGACACAGACTTAGATGGGTGGCCAAATGAGAACCTTGTTTGTGTTGCCAATGCTACCTACCACTGCACTAAAGTAAGCATATTTCTATACTGTCCTTATTTGGGGAAATTGCTATCGCTACTTAGTTCAATTAATAAAAGCACATATAGTCTTAGCAATTTTTAGAAAATTCTAATGGTGCCATCAAAGCCAGTATCTAAGCAAGATGGTACTTTTGTAATCTGAACACCTCTTTATGGAACTAGTGAGAGATTTATACATTGCTGAGAAATAAATGAATTTCCTTTGATGCAGGATAACTGCCCCAATCTTCCCAATTCTGGGCAAGAAGACTATGATAAGGATGGAATTGGTGATGCTTGTGACGATGATGATGATAATGACAACATTCCAGATGACAGAGTAAGTCTGAGAAAAATACTGATATGCTTTATGTGGTTAAGATGGTGCCATCACCACTTGATAGCTGTGGGCTCAAGCTTGAAAAATAATTAAAAGAAATGTAGGAACATATAGCACATTCTCCTGTTGTAATTAATACCATCCCATTCAAGTCAGTATAAAGAAAAAAAACATCCCACTTCCTGCCCTGCCTACTGCAAAATGGCAGGGTATAGTATATTGTGTTTGTTCTGACAATAGATCATTCTCCCCTTGCCACCATCAGAGTAAGATAGGGCTGTTTAGCCTATCTTACAGGGTAAAGAAGGTGAGGGAATGAACCCATTACAGTGGGGTCTCTACTTAAGAACGTCTCTACTTAAGAACAATCCAACTTAAGAACAGCTCCATTTGCTAAATTTTGCTTCTACTTGAGAACAGAAATCCAAGATAAGAACAGGAAAAAAAACCTTTCCTGCTCTTTTTTTAAGGTCATCTTAGGTTAAAAAAATATCTCCCCCTAGTGGTAGAGTACGTATTAACCAGCTTTGCATTAGTTCCTATGGGAACTAATGCTTCAATGTACGAACGCACCTCTACGTAACAAAAAAACCCAGCCAGAACGGATTAATTGGTTTTCAGTCCATTCCTATGGGAAATTTTGCTTCAACTTAAGAACGTTTCAACTTAAGAACACTATTCCAAAACAGATTAAGTTCTTAAGTAGAGGTTCCACTGTAGTTTCTATGGACGGAAAAGAGCAGATACGGATTAAATGGTTTTCAATGCATTCCTATGGGAAATGCAGATTCAACATAAGAACTTTTCAACTTGAGAACCACCTTCCAATACGGATTAAGTTCTTAAGTAGAGACCCCACTGTATGTAAAACAAAAGGAGCGCCTACTTTTCAGTTATGGGTCAAACTCTTTAAGAGTTGTGGTTGAAATCAATAGTAAGGCTAGAATTCTGTTGCAAATGTGGAGTGTTTCCCCAGGTAATCTCCAGTGTATGGGGGAGTTCCATGAGGAGTTGCTGCACTCCCTTTGCACAAGCAATGGTGAAGGAGGAACCAGAGGTGGAACTGAGTGCTCTGGTCATGATTCCTCAGCAACAGGATACTATCTTATCTGCTCTTGCAGTAAAGAAGTGGTGCCTGCCTCTGCACTCACATTGTGTATGAGGTGGTGGTGGTGGTAGTGGTTGCTCTTCACATATTCTAAAAAGCATGCCAAAAGAAGTAAGATGTCTACCTATATACCTTTGTTACTGTTGTTTGTTGTTTTTATTCTCACAAATAATTGTAAAAAACTGTGAACATGAAGTGCACGAATAAAACTATATGCCTGATTTTAATATAGTTTTCCAAATTGCCTTTCTTTTGCAGGACAACTGTGCATTCATTTACAACCCACAACAATATGACTATGATAGGGATGAAGTTGGTGACCGCTGTGATAACTGCCCCTACAATCATAACCCTGATCAGATAGACACTGATAACAATGGAGAAGGAGATGCCTGTGCTGTGGATATTGATGGAGATGGTACAGTTTTGTTGTTTCTTTTTTTAAATCCACTTGAATGTTACACAGTTGCCATACTCATCTACAGAGTGTTGTTACCTGGCTACTAATATGAAATTCTGTTGATCCCTTGGTTTAATATACTTTGTCTTGAGACCTGTATGTTATTCAAGAAGTTGCTCTGCACAGGTCCCAGTGAAATTACTTTGAGCTGCACTGTTTGACAGAGAAACTCACATTAATCATAAAACAAATTATAGATTGTTTTACTGAATTAAATATAAGCAGTACACTTCATTGCCATTGTGCAGGAAAACTTTCCTATGGATTGTGTTCATATCTCCCTTTGTTATGCATCATATCTCCCATCTAAAGTGGCTACAGCTTTATTTTGCCTCATGGTAGAGCTGTTTCTACTTATTCAGTTATTATTTTGCACATTAGGTCATATGTGGATTGTAGAGAAATGTATGATGAGAAATTGTGCTACCATAGGATTGCTATGTATGGTGTAATTTGTAACAATTTTGCTATAGGTCAGGGTGAACAGATGGACTTTACCTTTGCTTTCCCTGAGTGCCTTCCTTTTACTTATTACCTTTCTATAGTCAGTCAATGTCTAAGTGAATATCATTTGGATGCACATATTATTCAAGGTACAAAAACATCTGAACTGTTTTATATGCATTTTAGGCATTCTCAATGAAAGAGATAACTGCCCATATGTGTACAATGTGGATCAAAAGGATACAGACTTGGATGGTGTTGGAGATCAGTGTGACAACTGTCCTATGGAACACAATCCAGACCAGGTGAACTTAATATACTAACCTATAAAATTGCATTTGTACATTCAAGTCTTTCCTACTCTTTGATATGTCTTATTTGTCATGCATACTGTTGCAATGTGTTTCAGCTAGCAGCAGAATCAAGAAAGAAAACCACTGTTATTGATTACACACATGAAACATATATTTTAAAAAATGTATTAGATGTTTGAGTACATAAAGCAGGAGAATTGAATGTGTGACAATGACATGCAACATCTTGTATTGGACCCATATCTGCTAGAAATACAAGTAGAACTCCTGAATCCCACTTTTCGGAGAAGGGTGAAATTCAAATTTAATAATAAATAAATAATTTGAAAGAGACTTCCCTGTTATTAGTGCAGAGGTTTAAATTAAGATAATGGAACCCATACTACATTTGGGTTAAGGTTTTTTTTTTTCAGATATTTAGTATTAAAGCAGAACATATGGTGAAACATAAGGAGTGTGTTTACAAGAAAAGGTTTCTCCATTACATTAAATATCTTGAGGCTAAGAAAACAATGAATTGATTTTCATATAAATACCAAAATGTGAAGGACAAAGGTTAAAGTTGTACAGAACACCTACCTGACAATTATGTTTCCTTCTCCATTCAAACAGCTCAAAGCATGTTCCAGTATTAACATATATAATATAAAGAATCTTTATGTGACTAAGGGCTTGGGAAAAATAGGGAAATCAGTCCCCTTCCATTTAATTTGCTCATCCTATAGCAGCAGTGACTGAATCTTTCAGAGGCTTGTTATGGACAATAGAGTAGGATTAATAGCTTCAGGGGCATAACTTGAATTGTCCCAAAAAAGTTGCAGTACATTTTTAGATGAGTCCTGCATATTACCCTTTGGGCACCACTGGTTGAACGTATCAAATTTTTGTTTAATAACTCTTTCTAGTTTCATTAAACTCTTTTAACAAAGTTCTTTCCAAAGCAATGGATAACAAGATACAGTGACATTGTGATAATGTTCAAGAAGACTCAGTCAATCAATTCTTTATTTGCAATCCTTAGACCTATCATACAGAGAAGCGGACAACCCAGATCCACACAGTCTCTGCAATACATAAAAACATCAAACATAGACATAAAGAAGATTTATTTTAGCATGTTATTTTTCAACTACTAATCCAGTATGTTTAGCTGGTTTTTATGTGACTGCCTTTCTCAGTGAGTAAGTCATGAGCCATCAGCTCAAGTTATTGTATCACAAAACAGATAACTTAGAGAAATCTGATTCATGTCATAGTTTGCATCATTATAAGCTCAGAAACTGAATGGCCCGATATAAACCAGAAGCAATATACTGAGGTACATTAGAAATGTGTTGTAATATACAGTTTTGCATTCAGTTAGTTTATGACTGAAACATTTTAGCGAGTGTGACTACAGCACTGGATCATTACAAAGAACAAAAGCTGTGATAAAGGTTTCAAGAGGTAGCATTGCATAGCAATGAGGTAAATTTAAAAACTGTCACCCAATTATGCAGCACTGTAAATCAAAGGTATGATGTGAAAGATGAAATTGCACTTCTCAAATTATCTGAATGATTCTGACAAAGAATTTAAGTGGAAATGTGTGCTGAGAAAAAGCAGAAGCCACAGGACTTTCTCTGGGTCCCTGTGCTAATGAATAAATGTATGAGAATTAGGTATGCAGATGGCTCACAAAACAAGCAGAGCAAGTGGTGAGTGTGCAGAGTGTGTGTGTATACAGAAATCAACATGAATGTAGTTTCTTTTGCCATTTAATGTGCTTCAAAGCACAGAGCTATAGTTCAGTTTCAACAGTCTCACACATTGTGTTAGACCCAGGATGTGCCTTTAGCTTGCAGAAGAGCCAACGAGCAACAGCTGCATCACAACTCACTTTATTTGGCAGAGTCACTTAACCTTCTATGTAGCATTTTCTGGGAACTGGAAGAGGACATTAGGAAACCTCTCACTGTCAGCAAGGTGCACATAACTAGATTCAGGTCGACCTTCTTATATTCATGTCAGTGTGCAAAGAGCTGTCATGCACGTCAACGTCTCCATTCATGTCAATGGAAGAATAAGTTTCATGCATGCAAAGTACCGTTTGTACACATCTGTTCTGTCTACTGAAATGAGGGCTTCCATCTGCCCCACCAGCAAAAGCAAGAGACTAGTGAATTTGGGTCATGACTGAGCCAAAATAAGTGGCAGCAAGCTTTCCAGATGATTCATCAGGCCCCTTTAAGTCTCTCTTTAACCTGTTGCTATATTTGCCTTCTAGACGGATTCTGACTCTGATCGCATTGGTGACAAATGCGACAGCAACCAGGACATAGATGAAGATGGTCATCAAAATAATCTAGATAATTGCCCCTATGTGCCTAATGCTAACCAAGCTGATCATGATAAAGATGGGAAAGGTGATGCCTGCGACCATGATGATGACAATGATGGCATTCCAGATGATAAAGATAATTGTAGATTGGTTGCCAACCCAGACCAACTTGATTCTGATGGTAAGATAACCAATCCACTTTTAAATTCTCTAACTGGTGGGATTAGCTAGTGTTTAGCTAGATAACACAGTGCAGTGATACATAGTCCAGATACACAGTTCAATGTTCAACAATCCTTTTCAAAATAAAATCTAATAACAGATTAATTGCTTCTTTTGCAATTTCAGCATTCTGTAACTTGTGAAATAATGTACCAATTTATTTATTTATCATTTTGCTACACAACAAAGCAATATTGATTAACCTGGCAAATATTCTTTTATTCTGATACACTGATTCTTATGCACAAAACACAGTGTATCTCCCAAGAGCTTCTGTGCATTCAAAACCATTCTCATGACTAAAATATAAGAAGCAGTTACAAGTTAAAGGATTTGCCTTTTTTTTCATTGAATGATGAGAAAATTTGTACTCTGAGAATTTCACATAAAGAATGGAGAGACTTTGTAGGTTTGGAACTAGGATATTATTTTTAAAAATTTAAAAATCAGATGAGAGTAAAGAAAACATGATTTTGTCAGGAAATTTGCTTCCTGGGTGGCAATTCCTAATGTAGCTAGTGTAAAAGTTATTGATGTCAAGTAAGGTTTCATTAATTCAACTAAATCCATGGAATGATTGATTAAAATAAATATTCTAGAAAATATGTAATATGAAATCTGAAATGTGACTTATTAAGATGTTCAATTTTTAAAAAATTGTTTCTCCTTCCACTTTTTTTGCCAGGTGATGGGAGGGGAGATGCATGCAAGGATGACTTTGACAAAGATAATGTTCTAGACATAGATGACATTTGCCCTGAGAATGTTGACATCAGTGAAACAGACTTTCGCCGATTTCAAATGGTTCCTCTCGATCCAAAGGGAACATCTCAAAATGATCCCAACTGGGTCGTTCGTCACCAAGGCAAAGAACTGGTTCAGACTGTCAACTGTGATCCTGGACTTGCAGTTGGTGAGCAGACAAGCTTGATCTTCTGTTTTTACAATAGATACATCTAGATGGAATCTATCACCTTTTAGTTATTAGTAACTTCTCACCAAAAGGCTATACATTACCAAGTGCAGTTTAAAACCCGCTAAAATATACATGTGCATTAACTGATTTTAACAAATAGTTCATGAGGGATTATGTATCTTTATTATTATTACAAGAATGCTAACCATCATATTTTATTTCCTTTATCCAGGTTTTGATGAATTTAATGCTGTTGATTTCAGTGGCACATTCTTCATTAATACAGAAAGGGATGATGACTATGCTGGCTTTGTGTTTGGATATCAGTCAAGTAGTCGTTTCTATGTTGTCATGTGGAAGCAAGTTACCCAAACTTACTGGGATCCAGAGCCAACCAAAGCTCAGGGATATTCAGGTCTTTCTATCAAAGTAGTGAACTCAACCACAGGTCCTGGAACACACCTTCGTAATGCATTGTGGCACACTGGAAATACCGCTGGTCAGGTAAGAGATTATTTCTGTTGATAAATCATGCTGCTTGTCTAGGATCTGAGGACTATAAATTAAAATGGAATGTGAACCTTGTGAATAATGTAGAGAGCAATGGTCATTCTGACCTGCTGTCAGCCTTTGTGATCTCTCCAGTGCACAACAGGAGTTCTATGTATTCATTTCAGCTGAGGTGGGTAACTACCCAAGTATATACAGTTAAGAACAATTTATTTTTAAATTGTTTCAAATTTGGCTGTCCTGATTACAGATATTGTTTGATTTACTGTTGCTGATTCACAGATCATACTTACCCACAAGGGACTACACTAAATTCACTTAAAGCTGTTTCAGGTTTAATAAGAAGAGAAAAACTATGGATTTGCTTCCTGTTTCTTGTGCCTTTCTAAAATCCATATCCTGCCCATGCAGTGGGAGGCTTACATATCTCTCCCTCCTGGGCATTTAATCAACGCAGGCTGCATGGCAAAGCATGAGGAAAAGAAAGCACAAAGGCACTGAATATACTGTTCACTCCCTTTTGATGTGTCTGAAATGGCAACCCAAGCATATAGTTAATCTTGTACGAGCATAATAAAACATAATCTCTTTATATATTTACCTTGCAGGTGCGGACTTTGTGGCATGACCCTCGTCACACAGGCTGGAAAGATTTCACAGCCTACAGATGGCGTCTCAGTCATAGACCAAAGACTGGTTACATCAGGTAAGCATCAAAGGGTTATTAAAACTTTAGATAGGTGAATACTCCAAAATAAAATGCTCTAACATGCATAGAACTAAGTACTGCTACTGTTACTTACAGAGTTGTAATGTATGAAGGAAAGAAGATCATGGCTGATTCTGGTCCTATCTATGACAAAACCTATGCTGGTGGACGGTTAGGATTATTTGTCTTCTCTCAAGAAATGGTGTTCTTCTCAGACCTTAAATATGAATGTAGAGGTAAGGATCCATATTTTCTGAGTACAGTTGTTTTACTAAAATGCAGGGGTGTGAGCTGTATGGCAGCTCTCTATTGCTGAAGACAGTATGCCAACAAACGTTTTTCAAGTACCTTGGGTCACATCTCTTATACATGAGAAACCACATGGAAAATAACATTTAATGGTGAACACTACCAATTGGGAAAGGCTAGAGTTTAGTATTCAAATTAAAGAGGAATATCTTGGATTGAGTCCATTCTAAAGGGCTCGGAGATCCTCTGGAACAAATCCTGGGAGTGCAGGGGACTTGAGGGAGGAAAGGGGAAGTCCCCATATACTAGGAGAATGCTGCTTTTGCAATATTTTGCCTGAACTACATACCTGGGGGCAGAATGGACTACCAAATCATCTACCTATATTATGCGCTTTCATGAGATTTCCTAATTCCACATCTTGGAAGAGAAATATATAGTTGCCAAAAAATAAAATAAAGACATTTAAAAACTGTTTTATTTGGCCTTTAATTGTTATCTTAATTATTAATAAATCAGTGCACCAGAATGCTAATTTAATATTTCTGCTTTCTGCTTGCAGATCCATGATCACAAGGCAATTGACAGAGAGATTATTTCAAAATGCTGATATTGCACCTTCTGAAATGTTTAGTTTCTACAAACCCTGGGACCTTTTTTTAGCTCTTTTCTTTCTTCTGCCTTCATAAAATAGAGACTCAAAATACATGACCTGCCTCAAGAAAATGCCTTTGACAGAGAGAGAGAGAGTGAGAAAAAAAACCACAGCAAAGTACACTTCCTATCTGACCTCTCTTGGCCACAGAAGAAAAAAAATGTCTTTCATGAATAAGAACATTCCTTGCCTCAGGAGCGAATAGTCACTTCTGTAAGAAAGGCATTTGTATAGCTGGGCATTGTCACTGCCTCTCTGTAACTGGAGGTCCAATGGAATAGCACTTTTGCAGTAAGAATATTTCTGTGATGTATTATGGACTACTTAAAATTAACTATACTCATCAGCATATAGAAGAGGAACAGGAAAGAGACTAGGAAAGTTTAGAGACAAATGCCTCATTTTTTTGAAATGGGTCTAGACTCCCTTAAAGTGATACCCAGGTGAATTGGAGGGTCTGTTACATGCCTGTTAAATAATATGATCCTATGCATGTTTATTCACATGCAAAGTCCAGTACATTCAGATGGGACGTACATAAGTATCCATAGGACTACAGCCTAATTTGGTTTCAGTTAATAGAAACTATCATGCTTGATTACATAGGAAAATTAGCTAATCTGGTTGGCTAGCCCCATGCAGCATTAGATTTTAACAGTTCCACTGTGGAGCAAAAGGAAAACAATATTGGCACGCTAGATTGTACAAGCTTGGTCAGAACGGTGTTTCAGAGGAACAAGAGAGAATAGCAAGTGTACATGTGTCATAGAGGTTTGATAGCAGAGGTAGCTAGTACTGATGTAGCAAGAACATTAAGGTGCCAACGGGCATCTTCATCTCAATTCAGCGCTTGTATTGGCCATCGAGGAACTACGGTTATTGTTTCTTTTATTTTGTTATGGTTACAATGGCACAAAAAGCAACAAACAATTGAATATAAAATCTTTTTCTATAAAATGCAGTAGTTTTTTAAAATGTTTCTAAAACATTGACTTTTGTAGAAGCAAATGTGTAGATAAAGTGTAACATATTTATTTTTTACCTATCCTCTCTGTTATGACAAAAAAAGGACTATAGACTGAAACAGAAACAATGCGTCACGACTATCCACATAATCATTTTTCTACATGTCTCCATGACTGAAAGATTGTAAATACAGGTTATTTATTGTTCTAGAGTGAACCTAGAGTATCAGTTTAGGAAGATATTTCATTTGCAAAGAATAACCTTCCCATGAACAACATGGGACTCATTAAAACCAGACAGATGGGGACTGGACTTAAATTTTGCTCTCAATGTGTGTTTATGTCTTCCTCTGCACAAGACAGCTGGCAAAATACCCTCGTCAGCTACTTATCATTGCATTGCCAAACCACAAGTATGCTTAAATGTTAGCTGTTCTGCTGCCTTCTGTCTTTTAAGAAAGGAGAGAACATAGCTTTTCTATTAACGTTGGTCACAATCCACTGTCAGTTTACACTCTTATTCATTTTAACATAATTTGCAGAGGAGATGTTCTCAGTGGATTGCTGCCCTGACCACCTTTGTATTGCTATATGAATTCCACAGGGGTAACCATGTTAGACTGTTGCAGAAAAATAACAAAGAATCAGGTTGCTTCTAGACTGTTTTATCGAACATTTAATGGACATTTGAGGGCGCACAACCTGATTGTATTTGTAGAAGTGGGCTATGTCACCACAAAAGTTGATATTAGATATAATAAAGGGCTTGGTTATTAAGGTGCTTTTTTTATTTTTTGTTATGGGCACATTGCCATTGGTCAATGTGTCAAACAAAGGTTCCTGCCTTGAGGAGGCTGCAGACTACAGGAAGATACAGCGTAAGAATAGTTTGCCTTCTCCAGATCACACACCTTAATCACTAGTGTGTGTTTGGAGGAGAAAAAGTGCTTTGTGGTGAGATTTCAGGAGCGTTATTTTAAAGAATGCTCATGGTATAAAAGGCAGTTTGTACTTTTTATCTACAAGCTGCTTCTTAATAGGAAAAAAAGAATGTCAAAGGTGAAAGTTTAATGTACAAATATTACCTCATTGCTGTGTGACTGAGAAAAGAGGAAAAAAAAAACCTTTGGATTATAAATACCTAACAAAATTTAAAGCTACTGTAGTATTGAGGAGAGCAAAATGATTTCAAGCTGTATATAGTAAAAATTGTTTTTGCAGATACATCTATTCCCATTTTATTAAAAAAAAGCATTGAAACAATGCTGAGAATGATCTATGATATTATGTTAGAGTGGTTCCCCCATCGTCCTGTACACCATTCCTTGTATTTGTATAAATTATTTTTCCATTACTGTTGGAACAGTTAATCTCTTGTTTGTGTAGATATGCTATTTAAATAATTTATCAGGAAATGCTACCTATAGAGCTGTAGTGTTTCTATTTTTATAAAAAAATTTGCACACTGAATTGAAGAATTGTTTGCTTTCCATTCCCAATGTTGTTGCTATTAGTACAGTACTTACTTTTTTTCTACAAGTGAACATATTTTGTATACATTTTTAACCATTTTACATCTTTAAAGCTGTGTAAATTGTATGATAATGTTTCTTACATACAATAAAGAATACAGAAATCCATATTTACAACCGTTGAGTCTGGTTTTGTATTTTCATTCTTCCTAACAATTTAAAAGCCAGGAGAGGATGTGGCGGCAGCTGCTCATGCTCCTTCTCTTTTCCACCAGCTGCATCACCTTTTCTCTTTACCATACAGTGGGGTCTTGACTTGAGAACTTAATCCGTATTGGAAGGCGGTTCTCAAGTCAAAAAGTCTGTAAGTCAAGTCTCCATTGAGCTACAGTGCATTGAAAACCGATTAATCCCGTAACAGGCCGTTTTTGTTCCATTTTGGTTTTTTTCTGGTCTGTAAATCAAATCTCAGTCTGCAAGTCAAACCTAAATTTTGCGGCCAGAGAAGTCTGTAACTCAAAAAGTCTGTAAGTCAAGCCGTCTGTAAGACAAGGGTCCACTGTACTGTGTAAATGCCTCTGTGAGGCCCCCCCCCCCGGCTTCACTGCAACATTTCTAGCTGCTGCTGAAGGTGTCAGTTTATGAAAATATACCTCAGTATGGTTGTTGTAGGTTTTTGGCCATGTTCTGAAGGCTTTTCTTCCTAACGTTTCACCAGTCTCCATGGCTGGCATCTTTAGAGAACAGCCACAGAGACAGGTGAAACATTAGGAAGAAAAACCTCCAGAACATGGCCAAACAGCCCGAAAAACCTACAACAACCATTGGATCCCTGCCATGAAAACCTTCGAGAATACATACCTCAGTATCTTCGTAATTTAATGGAAAGAAGCAACCACCCTAATTCTAAATCATCTTAGAGCTTCATTAATATTATGGTCAAACACTCCTAAAGGAATTTGGTGAACTAAGTGGATTATTAATAAATTGGAAAAAATCTGAAATGATGTTATACAATTACTCTACAGAGGAAATAGAAAAAAAGAAAAATGAAAAACCAGTTTAAATTCAAAGTGACGGAAAGTATTAGGTACCTTGCAAAAATATAGAAAGAAGTAAAAGATAAGCTAGAGAACTATAAAAGATTGAAATTATCCTGGTTTGGCAGGATTGTGCTTTGCAAAATAAAAAATTTATTTTTTTGTTTTGGATGAAGAAGTAAAAGATAAGCTAGAGAACTATAATAAAGATTGAAATTTTCCAATTTGGCAGGATTGTACTTTGCAAAATAAAAAATTAATTTTTTTGTTTTGGATAACCCCCCCCCCCTTAAGTTTTCAGAACAGGAATTAAAAGAAATACAATGGATAATAAATGGATTATATAATGGCAGGGACAAAAGCTAGGATAAATAAAAAGTGTTGGTATCTACCACAAAAAAGGAGGTGGTGGTATCACCGAATATTAGTAATTATTGTGTAGCAAATCAATTGAGAATCATCTTGAGTATTAAAGTACTGTACAAAGTGATGAATTAATGTAGAGTGTCATTGAATTACAGGAATTATACAAATTGGGAGACCCACAAGAGACATAATGGTATAAAAAGAACATTAAAAGAATTATCTAAAAAAAGATTCAGAATCCTTTTGTAAAGAATGTATTTGAGATTTGGAATAAATGGAGACAGGTTTTTATGTCCTAGAATCTCCCCATTAACCCCAGTGGTTTAGACAATTTCCTAAGATATGGGATAAAGGAGTTAATTAATAAATTAAAAAGAAAACATAAATCGGAGGATTGGAAGGATAAAATAAAAAATAAGCATAAATTTAAGAGGCACCTTTGTGGAAGAAAACTTAAATTGGTTAAATTAGAAACGACTGAAACAATGGTTGAAAGAAGGGGGAAAGACTTCTAGTTTGGGAGGGGCTCCACCAAGGTTTCCTCTAAGCCAAGTCAGCTTGTGAGCAGAAATTCTACCTTGTGACCTCTGACCTGGAAGATCTAGTAATCTCTTGTTCATGCCAAAGCAGACTGAGTATGAAGCACAAGAGGATGCACCACAAGATCCAAAGCAGAAATTCAAAATAAGTTTCTATTATACTGTTTTAGACATGGCCATACAATCTGTTGAAGGGAGATTCCAACAGCTACAACAATATAATACCTTGTTTGGCTTCTTGTATGACATATACAAGATCAACAAAAATGTACTGAAGATGTACTTAAGGCCTGCAAGAATTTGGAAACATCATTGGTTCACAATGGAAACAAAGATATTGATGCTGAAGATCTGTGCTGCGAACTTAGAGCAAATAAGTTTGAAGACTTCCAAAGTCTATGCTGCCACAAGGAGTACTTCTTTTCAGAGTGCAACAAAAACTCCTGGATAGTGTGCCTAAGATAACCTCGAGGCAAAATCCGGAGCTGGAGTCCCGGAGGCAATTCTGCCAACTCCTGCGACGTTGCTGGAACCAGTTGTATTGCCTCTTGCCTTTCCACTGGACTATTTCAGCAATGTGGAGAAGGGGGATCTGCTGCTTGGGTAACAGCCTATCCCCCACACTATTTTACCCAGGCTTCGTGCTCTGGAGAGGACACTCCAGCTTCGCATACAGCGTCGAAACAACACGGGAAGTAGCAGTTACCGGTTATAAGTCTTTGCTCAATTGGCGTAGAGCATGACGCCAGGGGCTACTCTCGAATTGGCCTCTTCAGCCACACTAGATGCTGTTCCAAGTCCTCCATACAGAGCATGTCCTCATAGTCTTTCAAGACTGAAGGATGCCTAAGTGTGCCTAATGTTTCTGCTGCTCTAAGGATACTTGTCACATTTCCAGTGTCAGTGGTTAGTAGTGAATGCAGTACCTCAAAGCTCAAGCTTATAAAAAAATATTTATGCTCAACAATGCTGCAAAGTAGATTAGTTGGTTTGGCAACTATACCAATTGAACATGCTGAAGCATCAACCATTGACCTGAAGGAATCAGTGACAAAATTTGCAAAAGAAAAGGCACGCAAAATGAGATTTTGATGTGGCAAAAATAGAATTATTTAAGAGACATTACAGTTCATAGGATTATTCAAAATGATTTGTGTGCTAAAACTGTTCCATATTTGAGAAAGAAAATTGAAGACTGGTCTATTACTTGTTCTCTCAGTTTTTAAAAATAAAATTTCCACAACTTCAACTTTTGTACTTTCTGTTTTTCCTACAAGTTGTCTGTTTTTGAAAATCGGTACTTAGTCTTGCCTAGGGTGCAAAAAAGCCTGGCACCCGCCCTGATTACATATATTATTTACACATCCATACCCCCTCATCCACCATGACAATAAGCACTATTAGCTATAACATACTTGTGTACCTAATTTATCATTGCAGAACTGCTGCTTGAATGTAAGCTATAAACTGTTTCATGCAGTCCAATTTAACACTAGTGAAACATCTGGCTAACTTTGTCTGGATGACATCCAAAGCCTCAGTGAAACGGCTTACAGCTGTAAGTGACCAATTCTGTATAAAAACATAACACTTTTCTGAACATGTAAATCAATTGGAAATAGAGACAAACTGAAAACAAAAGAAAATGTATTTCAAGAGCCTTTCAAAATGTGTTAATACTATTGAATTTTGGCAGCTGATATTTAACATCATGTCCTCGAGAATCACCAACCCCAAAATTTAAAACCGTTTATGTACAATCTCTGCCTTCCACAATAAAATAATGCACATTCCCCGGTAATGATTCCAACGCCTTTATTTGAAGAACTAGTTCATAGTCCAAGGATTCAGTGGGATTAAACTGGCCACATATTTCGTTTTCTGGAACATGACTATCTGTAAATTATCACCTTCCTTTTTGTACAACTGTTGTATTTATACTTAAAAGGCAGCAAACTGTGCAATTATTAACGTTTGATATCACATTCGAGCATTCATATGCACAGGAAAATAATACCGTGTTTCCCCGAAAATAAGACAGGGTTTTATATTATGGTTGTTCTGGGTTTTTCGGGCTCTTTGGCCGTGTTCTGAAGGTTCAACCTTCCGGCCGTTTTTCTCTTATATTAATTTTTGCTCCAAAAAACGCATTAGGCCTTATTTTCAGGGGATGTTTTATTTTACAGTCATGTCATCTTTTTCTGGTTGCTACACAATGCTGCACAAGGGTGGAGGATGGGGTTTTACTTAACTGTGGCTTATTTTGGGGTAGGGGTTATTTTCAGGGAAACAGGGTACACCATTGTTGTTTTTATGTGCCATCAAATTGCCTGAAACTTATAGTGACCTTACAAATTAATGATCTCAAAAGGTCCTGTCATTAACAATCATCTTCAGGTCTTGCAAACCAGATTTAGACCTCCTAAATGGCCTCCTTTAATGAGACAATCTATTACCATACATATGTATCCCATACATATACAATATACATCACTTAAAGGGTTTTCAGTGACAACGGTGGCCTGAATTGCTCATTACTCACTCAAAAATATAGATTGGTTTTATGACAAACTCTTTCTTAGAAGGTATTGCTGAGGTAAATGTTTGGGGGTCCCTCAAATTATTCAGCAGCCCTAATCTTCTCACCTAGTTATGTGGGTACACTAACAATGAAGTAACTTTTGGAGGCTAATTGCTCCAAGTTAAGAAATCAATATATACATTATTTGTTGTATGCTAAGCTGCATGACTCAGTGTGTAACTGAGAATGCTTCTTAACTTGGGGCAATTTGATTCTAAAAGTCATGCCATTTGTGTTGCTACACAAGATTTCGGTCAGCAAATCTGTGTTCTTTTTCTAAAATCCATCACAACATATTTATGTAGACTAAAGCCCCATAACAACAAATATGAACAAAACACACAAAAGTAAAATCTTACATAAATCTAAAAGTATCATTAACTCTCTTCTGTGTTTTTTATAAAGAAGGCTAACTGCTGAAAAATTGATGCTTTTGAATTGTGGTGCTGGAGGAGACTTGAGAGTCCCCTGG